TCTCTTTCTCTCTCTCTCTCTCTCTCTCACTCTCTCTCACACACACACACACACACACAACATAGTACCGCAAGTAGTTGCAGTTACAGCACTTGACATCATACTAACACTATACCTTTGTCCCAATTCATTTCAAGTCCCAAACTTAAACAATCTCAAATACCCAACTTCCAAAATCTTTTTTTTTCTTGCTGGATAAAGTAAAGATTTGCCTAAGTTTTGAGTTGGGTGAGTTCAAGAACCAGTTCAATTAACATAAAGATTGAATCTTTAACTGTTATTTTTACTGAACAGTGTAATGTCTGTGTTTTTAATGGCAGAATGGAGACCCGGATTGATGATTATGAAGTGATAGAACAGTTGGAAAGAAGAGCTTTTGGAACTGCATTTCTTGTTCTCCATCGAACTGATAAGAAGAAGTAAGCAAATAGTACTAATTTATTTCCTTATATTACTTGTTTTTGTCTGAAAGAGAATTTTTTGGTTTACTTCCAGTTATATATTCTAGTTTGCCAGCTGTTGCAGCTTTAGTTTGAGAAGTCTGACTAAATTATTCTGTATTAGCACTTTTGGGAATTTATTGAAACTTTTAGAAGCTAGTTTGATGTTGGTTTGCTCTCTTGAATTTCACATTAAGGAGTGTGATTTCAGCGTAATGCATAGCTTTGTCCTGTCTTGATGAAGTGTATTCTTATTTAAGAAAAGAAAATAGAGGAAAACTTGTACTGTGCTGATAATCTTCTCTTTACTTTGATGTAAAGAGAAGTAAAGTAAATCCAATCTTATGGAGTTCTTATTTTCCTTTTCCTTGTAGGTATGTTCTGAAGAAAATACCATTAGCAAAACAGACAGAAAAATCCAAGCGTGCTGCAAATCTGGAGGTCATTTCAAGTGCTTCTCTGAATTTTCTTGTCTGAAAAAAATAGTATTTTGATTACTTGGGAACCAATAATATTTTGGTCATTATTCTTCGAAGTTGCTGAACTTTAAGTTGGTTAGTCACAAACTTCGGCCAACAATGAAATGCATGGGGGTGTCATATCTATGACATAATCCAGTTCACACCAACAATATAGTCTTAGGTTGTCTAATTGAATAGCTTTCTTTCTAGTTTCGTTAGCGAGCTACATTGTATGAGGTGTTCCGTCATAAGTAGTTTGACATACTGATTGTTATTGATGTACATCTTATTATGTCTCTCTTTTGGCATTTTCTTAATGGCCTATTGGTACCGAAATTCAATGGTTGGATATGGATATTTGTATTCACATTTCTTACAATCAGCCCCGCTAATGTCCTCTCCAGCCATCCATTATGTGATTCCTCAAGCTAATTTGTTTTCTACTCCAGTTGCTTCTAACATGAGATGATGTTATGCAAACAATAGCAGTTGAATTTGCATGTGAGTCTTCTTGTCCAAATATCCTGGATCGTCATTCTCGTACCACATCATGCTTCCTTTACTATTAACATTTTCCTGACCTACTGTTGTCGTGCATTTGAAGGGGGTTGTCTTCCATGCGAAACTTTCTTTCTTCGAGGAGTTTTGCTTAATAGTTAAATCGTGGGATAAGATCATGAATGTTTAGCATGCTGGACTGGGTAAGGAGTGATCTTCCTGAATACGTTCGGGAGTGGAGCATCATATGACTTCTATTATTGGAAACCTAACCTATAAATGGTAAAGTAGATATGAAACACCATTTATTGACATGTTCTCCGCATAAGGGCCAGTTTGCACCCGATGAGCAATATAGGTCCCAAGTGTATTAACACAAGGTTTGCATTCGAAGGATAAATCTTTTGGAGGATGAGCTACATCATATTTAAAGTAGAATTTTTTGCTCTAGAAGTAAAGATGGAAATTTCATGCTTGTAGATGGAGAAGAAAGGATGAAAACTAGTGTGAGATATCTATGTGGGACCAATCCAAACCAAAATCTTAGATTGAAGCTATCTCTGTTGACCTTAAAAAACAGAAACTTATATTGTAATTGTAAACTCTCACTTATCTGTAGAGCTCATAGTGGATGGCTAGAAACTCTATATTTATTTTACCATGTTAACCGCATTTCAAACTTCATATGATATGAGTCCAGACTTTTAAAGCACTTTGCACCTTAGATTTTCCCTAGAAGCGGATAATGTGGTCGCAAAGCACTATACATATCTCTATCAAATATTCACTTTGACGAATAGGCAGTATGGACTATGGACACTCTTAGGCTCTTAAGGGTCATTGGTCGGGAAACAAGTTATCCTAAGATTAGTTATCCCGGGATTGTTATCCCACCATCCCATGGGGATAAAAATAACACTACAATAGTTATACCGCAATTTTTCAAACGTGGGATAAACTCATCTCAAATTTAATCCCAGGATTAATTATCCCTTATCAATCGTACCAAACGAGCTCTTAGTTACTTCAGTCTTACTTTTGAATCCAAGCGCATTTAAATACAAAATCTTCAGCTCATCATATAATTTACTATATCAAAAGTTTAACTTGGAGGCATGATATGCTTGGAAATATTCTTCTATCTGATGATAGACAGTTATTTTTCTGTTGCAGATGAATTTGATAGCTAAACTAAGCCATCCATATATTTTGGAGTACAAAGATGCTTGGATTGAAAAGGTATCATATTATCCAGTTTTGCGGTTATAGGATCTGAAAGTGCAAAAAGTATCCTTTCTTAGGAGCAATTATTTGTACTTAAGCTGCGCTGTTCAAGAAAAGCTTGACTTTCTTTTTCTTTCAGGGGAGCTGTATATGCATCGTTACCAATTATTGTGAAGATGGAAACATGTGAGTGGTTATCCCTGATTTTGAACCTTTCTAGATGCGTACCCCGTCCTCTCCATTTTATAGTGCGAGATAAGAATAAAGTACACAAGAATCCACCAAATGAGGGAAGAAAAAACAATGCTTAAGTAAATTCTTCGTCACAGACAAGGTCTATATTTTTCTTGTACAATATGGTTAACCTGTGTTTGTAGACAGGGGCGGATGCACGCTTAACGAAGTGGTGTCACGCGACACCACTTCGTCGGAAAATTTTACTTAAGGAAACGAATAAGTAGGAAAAAATGATACCACTTGACGTAAAGTGTGTCTTGGCGCATTGGTTATGTGCTTGATTTTGCTCAAAGAGGTCAAAGGTTCAAACCTCAACTAGGACATTTTCTTTTGCAAATATTTGAAAGAGCCTTTGTGGTTAAAAATTGTGATTAAAGTATAATTGACAAGAGTGGGTTGCTCTAGTGGTGAGCACCCTCCACTTCCAACCAAAAGGTTGTGAGTTCGAGTCACCCCAAGAGCAAGGTGGGGAGTTTCTGGAGGGAGGGAGCCGAGGGTCTATCGGAAACAGTCTCTCTACCCTAGGGTAGAGTTAAGATCTGCGTACACACTACCCTCCCCAGATCCCACTAGTGGGATTATACTGGGTTATTGTTGTTGTAGTTGTATAATTGAACTCAGGACATGTTCTAACTTAAGACTCAACAAAACCAATAGACTAAGGCTATTTCTTGTCTAGAAGTACGATAATCAAAGTTATATTCCAGTTCTTCTATAAATTTTGACACCGCTTACAAAATTCCTGCGTACGCCCCTGTTTGTAGAGGTGACCTTTTCTCCAAGCATTTGTGGCTGCTTCCAGCCTCTGCTGTATGCAATTTCAAGTATCTGGAGAATGAAAGACAGGCTTCACAAATACTCCATACCAAGAAGAATGGAAGGATCAGAGTACGAGGAGGCAACACATCTAATTATAGTGAATTAAATATTTTAAAATAAATTGTACATATTTAGGAATTACAGAAATGTACTTATATGTATAGATATTAAAGTAAACATATTTTTAAAATGCTGACAAATTTGCCTTTAAAGAATTAATGGTTTGACTCTCCGCCCCCATGGAGGACAAGATGCAGGAGTGTAGGCTGAGATAATTCGGGCACGTGCATAGGAAGAGTACGGATGCTCCTGTTAGGAGGTGTGAGAGGTTGGCGGTGGCGGGGCCGAGAACGGGTAGAGGAAGGCCGAAGAAGTATTGGGGAGAGGTGATTAGGCAGGATATGGCGCTACTTCAGCTCACTGAGGACATGACCCATGATAGAAGGGTGTGGAGGTCGAAAATTAGGGTAGTTGGCTAGTAGGTAGTCGAGAGTTCCCCGTTCCTTTTTAGTAGTATTAGTAGCTCCCTTGTTTTTTTTCGTATTCTTTGACCCCTAGTATTTGCTTATTGTTTCGTTCGCTCTGTGTATCATATTTTCTAGTTTGTTAGTATTTGATACTACTTTTTCTTTTACTTGTTATTTTGTTGTTGTTGTTGTTGTTATTGTTGTTACTGTAGTTGTCTTTTTCCCCTTTTCCTTATCGTCCTTTGTCCCCCTATTCTTTCTTTCTTCTTCCTCTTTCTTCTTCGTCTTCTTCTTCCTTTCTCTCTTTTCACCTTTTCTTGAGCCGAGGGTCTATCGAAAACAACCTCTCTACCTCGCCAAGTAGGGGTAAGGTTTGCGTACACACTACCCTTCCCAAACCCCACTTGTGAGATTATACTGGGTATGTTGTTGTTGTACTCTCCAAATAGTAATGGTGTCATTAAAATAGGATACAAGGAGTATTGAAGTTGAAAACAAGAGATGAATAGGATAATTATAGAGCTTCTTTTTGGTGTAATCTAAGGATGGTGGCAATTTTTTTTCCGGTTTTCAGGGCAGAGATCTTAAGGAAGTCTAGAGGAGCACTTTTTCCTGAAGAGGTAGTTAGATGCAATTTCAATACCTATGAAGTTTCTCTGCGCCTTCCTAGTAGCTTAAATCATAGCATGCGTTTGTTTTGTTGTGTTTTCCGTTCCTCTGTAGAAACTTTGCAAATGGCTGACTCAGCTATTATTAGCTTTGGAGCATCTGCATTCCAACCGCGTTCATCATAGAGACCTTAAGGTAAAGATGTGCTGTAATCACTGAAATAGAAAAACTTTCTTAGTATGACATATTTTAACATGAGCTACTTTGCATTCAGCTATGTAACATATTCATCACAAAGGACAATGACATCCGGTTAGGTAAGCATGCCAGACCAAGTGCTTGATTGGGGTGTGTTTTCTCCTTTATTACCCATAATCAAATTCACTTCATTTTCACAGGTGGTTTTGGGTTAGCAAAATTGATAGATGCAGAAGGCTTTGCTTCCTCGGTATGAGTTTCTGTAGTGCAAAAACGCACCTTCTTATTTACGGGCAACCAACTATTATCACCTAAACAAATAATTCAATATAAAATCTATTTAGCAAGAGAGAAATTCCTTCTCCCTTGACTGCTGAGAAAACCAATTAGTTTTTTTTTTCAGTTACAAAAATCATCTTGTAAGGATAAAATACTGTGGTAAACATATTATAAAGCGCTCACCCCACCCCACCCCACCCCACCAAGCTTAGTACATTTGAGAAAAACATGCTGAGTTGTACATCTAATCCTTAATTTCCGAACAAATTTGATGCAATTTCCTTGGCTGAAAACAGGCTGCTGGCACTTCAAGCAACATGTGCCCTGAGCTCCTTGCTGGTATGCCCTATGGCTACAAATCTGATATATGGTCGCTTGGTAAGAAAGTTGACGGAGTAATTTATTTCCTGCTCTTCGCATCATGTCCCTAATACAGGAATAACGTTTTAACGTGATTCTAGGATGCTGCATGTTTGAGATTGCCGCACATCAACCACCATTTAGAGCTCCTGTAAGTTGATCTTTCTGCTATCTGAACTTCATAAACAGTACCTTGGAAAATTATCCTTATTACCGATAAAAGAAAAAAAGAAATTCTTTATCATGATATTTTCTATATGATGTGCTGACGAGATATGGATTCAACAGGACAAGATTGGACTTATCAGCAAAATAAACCGGGGTTCTTTGTCACCACTTCCGATTATATACTCCTCCACCTTGTAAGTATCTTCAGTTTCTGTACCAGCCTTAACAAGTGTTTCTTATTTCCTACTAGCATTGCAACTTCTCATCACGCCACAAATAAAACAAATCAGTCAATTGAAAAAACAGATTCAATGCTTGCAGGAAACAGATAATAAAGAGCATGCTAAGGAAAAATTCAGAACACAGACCTACGGTGAGTGCAAGCGGCATGTGTTCAAATGTTATTAAATAGAGATTCATCATTCATCCTGATATCTTTTTCACCTCAAACTTATAGGCTGCCGAGTTGTTAAGGCATCAACATTTGCAACCATACCTCCTCTTGTGTCACAACCCTTCATCTGCGTATCTTCCAGTGAAGTCCCCAAGCAGCACAAAAGAGAAAGCAAGACCATCACCTGGAAAATCTAGCAGTCCTAGAGACAGCAGAGACAGACAGTTGAAGCTAAAAGAGAAGAGACCTGTCCTTTACTTTGATGAAAGTGATAACATAAAGCCGAGAAACTTATCAGACAATTATAATACGTTCAAAGCCAAACTTGAGACTAAGAGAGTTGATCCAACAAGCTACTCAGTTAGGATCTCTCAGGATAGTGAGGATTCTAAAAGTGGGGAGACGAGTCAGGTAGCTATTTGCTATGGAGATGATCAAACTGAGAGACTCTGGCAAATGGGAAGTACGACTACACCAAACTCTTCAAGTTCAAGGGCAAAAACATGGTCCGAGGAACTAGAGCATGCTTCTCCTGAGCATGTTAAACAATTTGAAGAGTGTGATAGGGAAAGTTGTGAAACAAAAGAGCTTGAGGTGTTGAGCAGTCCAACGGACAATGAGGAAGCTGAGACAAATGTAGTGGATAGTATCTCCGGAAAGCCTAGCGGAATGACATTGTCTAGTGAAATCTGCAGCGTTAAAACACGGTGCTTTGATGATGAAAGCACTTCATCAAATTCGCAGCCGGCAAAACCAGATTCCGTGGCAGAACCAAGGTGCTATGCCACTGATACTGAAAATGGTAGTGAGAGTAGAGAAGTTGCTAATGACTGCATGTCAACTGAAAGCAATGGTTCACTTGTACATAAAGATGAGCTAGAAAAGAAAGCAACAATGGTTAATGACACAAAACAGGCTAGGAAATATGCTCTTCAAGCACTGGATGATAAGGTTTCACAGCTCAAGTCACTAGCCGCATTAGCTGGTAGCGAGCGCAAAGATGATTGGGGGAATCCCACTCAACAAAGAGCTGAAGCTTTAGAGTCTCTTTTGGAGGTTTGTGCACGACTTCTTAAGCAGGAAAAAATCGATGAGCTTGCAGGTGTGCTGAAACCATTTGGGGATGACGGAATGTCGTCTAGAGAGACAGCAATCTGGTTGACAAAAAGCCTCATGACCGCACAAAAGTTGGCCAAGGAATCGTGATGTTGCACAGAAGCTTTTCCATAACGGTGATATCACTGTTCGAAAGTGATTTGTGTTCTTTCCATGGTGGACACAGAAACGTGTTTCGTAAGTGTTTGATCCCCTGCTAAATGATTACTTAAGGAAACATACTTGGATAGCTGTAAATCAGCAAGTCTTGTTGGACAAAATTATAGCTAGAGACTCAATGTTTCTTTGATATTTACGACTCTTATACTGTTTGGTTTTACACTATTAATGAAGTAAAGGGTTCATAGGAGCTCCAGAAGTGCGTACCAACCTTATTGCATGCCGAACAGAGAAATGTCATAGATTTCTTTAGCCTCTTAGATATGCTTGTGTTTGTCGTCTTATTTGTTATAACAGTTCTTTATAATATTGGACTGAGAGGGGCTTAAGTGAGGTGACATAAACAATGAATTTTTTTTTAATTTATATAGCTTACCAGAATTGTTTGGGATTGAAGTTTAGTTGTTATTGTTCTTTCTGAAAATGTTTTCGTGGGAGCAAAAGACGTGAGGAAAAAGTTGTTGGCCCCAAATTCGATCTCTGTGAATAGGGACCTTTCCAAACTATTACCAAGCTCAAGATTGTAAAGGACTAAAGTCTTGATTGGGAATGTGTTATAATTGATAACCTATAAAGATGGTTGGAAGTGAAATCAGTGAATTGGGAATATAAAGTGTGGCCAACGTGCCAATAGTGAAAGGTATACTTGTGGTCAATGGTGCCGATGTAATGAAATAATGTGAGAAAGATTATGAAATGAGCTTTGACTCAACTATTCCAAAAATTTACTTCGACAATATAATCGGCTAAAAGTTTATGAACTCAAGTGATGCCCATATGTGGTTGTTTTAGCTAATGCTATGCTTTGTAAGTGACTTTCAATGTGCTTTGCATTCTTACATATTCGTGAGGGANGTTTCCAATGTGTTATGAAACCCTATGGACAGTCTATGAAACGCATAGGTATATTGTGTTATGATGAAATCATGTGGATGGTTTATGAACGCATAGGTACATTATGATATGAAATCCTGTGGACGGTCTATGAACGCATAGG